CGCTTGCGCGTGAGCACCGAGTTCGTGTCGACTTGGTTGAGGCGAGCCTTGACCCCGAAGCTGTAGTCGCAGTCGGACAGGCCCGCCCCAGTCGACACGAACTTGGCACCGAGGCCGCCATGGACCCGCACCGTCTTGCCTTGGTCCACCATGTCCTTCCAGCGGGACTGGTGGCCCGCACCGTCTTGCCTTGGTCCACCATGGCCTTCCAGCGGGTCTGGTGGCGAATCTTCATGTGCAACTTCACATGCCGCAACACACTCTTGTGGTCGAGCCACTTCGTGTGATGCGGCACGCGAAGTGCAAGCGGGTCCTGGCCGTCGCGGTCGTCTTGAGCTGCCAGGCTGAGGTGGTGAACACGCAGCGTGCATTGGACGTCGGTCCATAGGGACCCGATGTCGCCGTTGCGGCGGAGGCGCTCTGCGTAGGGTGAGGCGGCGAGCTCGGAGTTGAGGAATAGCCTCACGAGCTCGTCCTCCCGCCCGCGCCAGTGTTCTTCTTGTAGGCGGTAGCGCTTGCGGGCGACTTGGCCCACCTGTGTCTTGGCGATGGCCACGACGGCGGCGTCCTTCGAGTGTAGCATTTGCCAGGCGTGCGCCACTTGCAGTGCCTTGTGCATCTCCACAAGGGGTTGCAGCCCCAGTCCACCCGCCGACGTGGGCGCGTACATGAACTCGTTGGTGGCAGCCCTGGGCAGACGCAGAAGGTGGCGTAGGCCACGAGCAACTGCGCGGTCGAAGCCCTCCAGCTGTGACTGAAGTGGGCGGAGGTGGCGGAGAGAGTACTCGACTTTAGGGTAGATGTAGGTCTTGAGAGCTTTCATCACCTGCCAAGCCGCCAGGCCCGACTGCATCAGTGCCACCGCCTCGCGCTTGATTTGCTGTAGCTTTGGCTCAAGCTGGAGGCGGTGACGCACGTGGTCAAAGCCGTCACCCACACCGAGGTAGCGGTAGCTGTCGTGGAGCTTCACGCTGGCGACGTCTTCGCCGTGGAGCTGGAGGTGGAGGTCCTGGTCGTGGGTGGGTTGCCGCGCGCGTTGCGGGTCACCGCCAGAAGAGCGCACTTGCCGGGGTTCGCCTGAAGTCCCGTCCACTCGAGGAATGTCTCCACGACCGCGTGACAGCGCTTGATCCCCGCTGCGCTGTCACTGAAGACCTTCAGGTCGTCTGCGTAGGCGGTGGCGCAGGGTCGTACACCGTCCGCCAGCGCAACGCCGACTCCGTCGAGTTTCTCGAGCGCTCGTAGCAGCGGCACCAGTGCTGCGATGAACAGGAGGGGGCTCAGTGGGCAGCCCTGGTACACACCCACCTCCTGCCGCACTGGTTCCGTCGCTCCATCGACGGCGTTCCCGACGACGAAGTAGGAGTCGTCATAGATGTCGTGGCAGCGAGCAACGAAATCGTGTTCCACGCCGAGAAGCCGCAGCACATACCACAGCATGTCTTGGTGGACGGACCCAAATGCGTTCCGCAGGTCGTACCAGACCTGGTACAGCTTGCGGTGCATGCGGCGGGTCTGGTCCAGGAGCGTGGTTGCCACGAAGTTATGCTCATGGCAACCGTTATACGCACGGAAGCCCTTCTGCGCCATTGGCAGCAGCGCATTCCCCTCCAGGTAAGCTGATAGCCGACGTGCCAGTAGACCGCTGTAGAGTTTGTAGATTGCAGTCTGGAGGCAGATCGGCCGCCAGTTGGATGGGTCCTTGGGGTTGCCTTTCTTGTGTATGAGTCGAACGAAACCCACCTTCCACAGGGCAGGCACCCGACGGTGGCTCCAACAGAACTGGAATGCTGCGTGGAGGAGCGGAACCAACTGCGCCGCGAACTTCCTGTAGACGTCGTAGCCCACGCCGTCATGACCCGGGCTGGAGTTCGCGGCCGCTTGTGCGAGCTGGTCTTCCACTTCGTCCATCGTCAACTCGTCCGTGAGCGCGTTGCGCTCCGCCGTCGGTTGTCCGATGTCGGCCATCGCTCGACGGAAGTCTTCACCGCAGGCTTCGTCCGGGAGGAAGTTGATGCGAGGCGTGTTGACCGCCGTGAAGTGCTCGTGCAGTGTGGTCGCGTCAATGGGACACGTATCCGGGTGCTCCTCTGCTGCTGTCTCTGGAGATGCTGTGCGCAAAATCTCCTCAACGCACTTGCGTTCTTCTCGGCCAAAGCGTTGGCGCAGTTGCTGCAGCCGCATGGAGCCGCGGATTCGGCCAACGCGTCGCCGCGCTCGGTGGATGGAGGTTCGGTCGTCCGGGCGCTCACGCTGGGTTACCTCCAGATCGTCGATGGCCTCGTCGAGTCGGTGCTCGCGCTGGTTCCGCGTTACGCGAGGTGGGCGCTGTCTCTGTTGCTGCAGTGATGATTGATGCTGGGGAGGGTCTGTTGTGTATGGCCGCAGCACCTCCCTAATGCGGCCAGGGATAGCGCTGATATAGCCATCTCCCGAGGTCCAGCTGTCGGCATCGACAATCTTGCACGCGAGCTCCTCTGCCATGGCCTGCAAGGCCACCGCTGCGGTCTCATGGTCATCCTCTGTCCGAAGCCGTAGCCGTAGCCGGGGTTGCCGGGCTGGAGCTGATCCTGGTCCGATAGGCAGGGTGGGGAACACTTCACCGTTGTCACGAGCCGCAATATCAGCCTCCTCGTCATCGTGGAGGAGGCTGACTTCGCTATGGTGGCCGGATGCTGCCGCTGGAAAACGAAGTAGCGGTGCCGCCATTTCGTTCTGGGTCGGCGCTGTGGTCGATGGGTGCCAGCAGAGGTCCATGCTACCGTGGTGCCGGCCGCACTCCACCAGCGTGCGCTTCATGTCGAGTGCTCGGTTTGCTAGGCGGTCGGCATGAGCGTTAGCCTTCCGGTCGACATGCTGTAGCGTGAATTTGGTCACTGAGCGAAGCGCGTGGCGCACGCGGTTGCGCAGCTGCCGTAGGCGTTGGTTTCTGCACGCGAAGGCACCTCGTACCTGCGCCACTACCAGGTGGCTGTCTCCCTCGATCGCCAAGGATGTTGCGCCGTGATGAGAAGCGCTCTGCACGCCGAGCAGCAGTGCCGTGTACTCGGCAGTGTTATTCGTCTCACCGCTGCTCGGCATGTAGTGCGAGCACGTCCACACCACCGTCCCGCTAGGGTTGAAGAGTGCGGCACCTGCTCCTCCTGGCCCTGGGTTCCGGCGACACGCTCCGTCAAAGCGCAGGGTCCATGGCTTGGGCGCCGCCAGGTCTTCGTCTACGCGCATCACTTGGCGACGGGCCGCAGCCAACTCTTGTTCCACAGTGTGCTGCACGGCCGTCCGCCCTCCTTAATCCTGTTGCACGACCTCGTCCTCGTCACGCTGTGAGCTGCGTTGCTGTGGCCAACGAGTCGGCTCTGGTGGAGCCTCTGGAACGGCCTCGTGGACTGGAGGTTGTCGTCGAGTTTGCGGCGCGGGTGTGGTGGGAAGGCCGGTGATGAGGTGGGCAACAGCAGCAGCTCCGATCGCGCGGTGACTTGGTCCCCACCGCGTGGCACCAATGCCCGATGCGGCCTGAACCAGAGGTCTTCGCGCTGCCAGAGCTCCTGCCGGACCACCAGAGGTGTCCGTAGTTCTGCACCGGGGTTCCCAGCGCGTGCTGCTGCGTAGCTGTCGTGCTGTCCCGTCGTCCCCATTATTGCGCGCGTCTTGGACGTCCGTCGCGCCCTCCACGGCGGTATCCTGCTCGAGCTCGGCCATCAGCTCGTCTTCAGCTGCTTGCATCAACACGTCAATGGCTTGGTCCGCGTTGTCGAGGCGGCGTCGCTTGCCTGCTTCACGTACGAACAGGGGAGGAGGGGTGACCACCAGCACGGGGGGGGGGACATGCTGGCGCCTAGCTGGTAGCGGGGTAGCCGGCACGGCGCTCTGTTTGTTGGCTGCTATTGCAGCCGCGGTGTCACGTGGTGTGGCTGCCGCGACTGCAGCAGCAGCCGCGGTGAGAGAGACGGTAGGTTGTAGAGTCACCTCGGTCGGTTGCCGCCACGTGGGAGTAGAAGATCAGGTTGCACGAGCATTCGCTGCTGAAGGTGTCGGCGAAGCGGATGCCGTGATGCGTGTAGCGGCGGTGGCCGACAAGCCGAGCAAAGGTTGGAGCGACGTGCGCACACAACGCGCACCTGAAGCGGGCAGCGTCGTGGGTGTACGTCGAATGCACCGGGTCCTGGTGGCCGATGTCCGGCCATGTGTTGCGGGTCCGGAGTGCCGGTGCGGTGGTTGTCTTCGCCACCTTCTTCTCTTGCATCTCCGTCGTCACGCTCCTGCTGCAGTGCACACCTCTGCTGATTGCGTTGCCCGGTTGGGGCTCCATGCTCGTGCTGACCGGGATTGCTAGGGCATGAGTCGGCACTGCGTGCACTCGGGTCACCACGGCAGCGGCAGCAGCAGCAACGTCTGCTGCTGCCTCCACACGATGGGTGGCGGCAGGCTCAGCTGTGCCTGAAGCTGGAGCTGCAGAGGCCACGCCGAACACGCCACCGTCGGTGAGCGTGCCTCCCGCCCTGCCGGGTGGGTAGAGATCAGGTTGGGGGTTGGGAGTTGCGGCTGCTGCTGTGGTGGCGTCTCTGTTGCGAGCGGTGACGGATACCGGCGTTAGAGCAGGCACGACCTCGGCGGTCAGCCTGCCGGGTCGCGCAAGCTCACAGGAGGGGTCTGGGCAGGGTGCAGCGGCGGCGATGTCGTCGTCTCTGTCGCTGCTGCTGGCGTCCGGGTTGTCGTCTCCGTTGCTGCTGCTGGCGTCCGGGTTGTCGCTGGGCCCATGGAAGATCACCAGGGCTCGCGTTGCTGCTGCCAGCGCTACGGTCTCGGTCAGCATGCCGCCCGCCCTGCCGGGTCGTGGCTCATCGGTGGTGGGGTCTTGGGCGGCGGCGACGAAGACGGGCGGTGGTCCGAGCCAAGAGGCTTGGACTGCCGAGCGGCGTGTGGGGTCGGCTGTCGAAGGCCCAGAGGCCAGATCGGAGTCAACTCGCGGGGCTGCCCAAACCGGCAGCCTGCTGGCCGCCCTGCCGGGTCGTGTCAGCTCACGGGAGGGGTCTTGGCCGGACGCAGGAGCGGCGGCGTCGTGGTCTCGCCCGTCGTCATCGCTGCTGGCGTCGTTGGGCTCAT